ACAGACAGTCAGACAAACAGACAGATAGCCAGATGGAAACGGGAGACCACTTTTTTGTACTCTAGTGTTCATGAAACGTCGAAAAAATATAAAAGTGGCCATTCGTCCGATGGCCTTGTTACGCTCAGGAAATAAAATATCAATTTAGATAAATAGATTAAAAATTGGTCTAAAGTTAATTCTACAGAATTTCCCTTGGCCCTTAATACAATCGAAGAAATCCGGTTCTTTTGAAAAATTGGAAAATTGGATATTGCAAAATTTTATTTATTCTAGAATAACCTTTATAGCATTCGTCATATACCGCAAGTACAGGAGTATATTATTTTGTAAAATTTAGATAACCGTTACACGCAAAATGTTGAGAGGACGTCCGATAATTTCGGAGATTATCTATCGGATATAAATCGGCACAGACGATAGACAAACGGAAACGAAGGACCTATTTTTCCATACTCTAGGTGCGTTAAATGTCAAGAAAACATGAAAGTAGCCATTCGTCGCATGAAATTACAATACTTCTTTAGCTTACACTCGACAAGTAAAAATGGTACATGTCTTAACTAAGAAATCATTATTAAAAAAGTGGTTTATGTACAGGATGATGAAAAAATAACGCACTAACTTAACGCCACACCATTAAGTTACTACAAGTTTTAAGTCCGAGAATTATTATAAAAAAATTTATATATTTTTGTTAGACTCCTTTTTGGTGTTTACTTACAAAAACAAAGTACGGATTTAGGTATCCAGATTAAAAACTGGTCTAAAGTTATTTTGACAGAATTTTCCTCGGCCCTTAATACAAATCAAACAAATCCATCAATTTTTTATTTATTTTCTCCTAATGACTCAAAATATAGACATATAGACAAATTCCTGTCACAGTTAAAAAAAACATTCGGAAAAATTCAAGGCGGATTAATAAACCACGAATACGCCAGTATATTAGTTTATAACATTTAGATAACCTAACTGTGCAAAATGATGATAAGTCAACACAGACGATAGACAGACGGAAACGGAAACCCTATTTTTTCATATTCTAAGTGGAAATGTCCAGAAAACATAAATGTAGCCATTCATCGGATAATATTACAATACTTCCTTAGCTTATACTCGGAAAGTGAAAATGGAAAAATTTGTTTAATAAGAAGTTATTATAAAAAAAATGCGACTTAAAATGCATGGAGTTTCAGTTTTATTGCAGATGATAAGGAAAATACTGTCAAAGGCGACCTTCAAATCAATTTTTAAATTTTATTGAAAAATATGACTTATTTTTAACTAAAACATTAACGAAATGCAAAAGTAATTCATTTTCATTAGTCTGTGGTCCATTCTTATATTCTGTATCAAACAGTAGAGGCATATTCTAGATTTCACTAGTTTATCTTTATAAATAAAAAAATACTTAGGGTAAATGTGTATAAGAGTGCGCATATGTATAAGAGTACGCAGTGATGATTTCTGGTTATTAGTGCCATCTGGGTAAGGTGAAGTTATACCATTCAGAATTTAATGTTAAACCTGAGATAAAGGTGCAAAAGTGACCTGAATATAGTTTATAGTTTGGTCGTACTGACGATTTTATGTTCACACGTTGTGTGGATGTAATTTTTACCGCTCATAGTTTTAGTTTTTTGTAAGGTACGTACCAGTTCTTTTATTTTACAGTAATAATTTTCATTAGTTGTAACTTTTAAGGTGTCGTTATACACTAACAGTTTTACACTTTCTGTCCATCAAAAGCTTTTAACTTTGAAAACATTAGGTTATGTACAAATGTACAAGAGTCCGCAGCGAGGTATTGTATAAGAGTGCGCATTGCTTGCAATACGTAATCTAATAGTCTTGGAGATACATATCATACGATAATGAATTATTTAACTCTACTACTTTGTACTGCTTCTCAAGATGTGTGGTGGTGGTTATAGTGATTTTTTTTTATTTTTACTTCCTGAGCGTGTTGTAATCGAGTCCGTCGACCGACTCTCTATTTTTACGTTTTCTCGTCTTTTCAAGACCCCTAGAGTACGAAGAAATAGGTCTCCCGTTTTATGTGTAGTCTGTAGTCACTTATTCCCATTTATTTTCACCTTAGAAACAAATATTTTTTCATAAAATGTAATGCGTACTCATAAGCGTTCAAATGCGCACTCTTGTGCAATGAACTGTCTAAGAGTGCGCATTTACACATCTTGACAAAAATTGAAATTACTCTTAAAATATAGTGGTGTTGGGGCGTACAATTAAATATATCTGATCTCTAAACATGTATATAACGAACCTATATCATAAAATTTGTCTATCCAAAAAAATTAAAAAGTTGTTAACAGTTTTACACTAAGTGCGTACTCTTGTACACATTTACCCTACTAAAAGTGGTTTAATCCCCAAAGTGAAACACCATAATTATAGTTCTGTGTAAAGATCAACGGTTAATTTCATTAACAATAGTTACTTCAGTCTTTTTTAATTATTGTTATAGTTAGGTCACAACGCATTTAGTTTTTGATAAATTTATTAATTAAGGTTAATATTAAGGTTTAGTTAATGACAGTAAATCTGAGACGGTTGTCAGTTCCTGTTCGTTGAATAATTTAGTAAGACGAATCTCCCCCTTGCATTCTCCCCGTGTCCACAAATCTTGCACTCGTATAACAAAAAAATAATTAAATTTCATATTTGCGAGGTAGTAGGTATATTATGCGGCCCTCTGTGCATCTCCATAAATCCGCACTCACTTCCAGCATACATTTTTCATTGACCCGGTTGTAAAACGGCCCCTGTGATTCATGGGCCTATCAACGAAGTGCACAACATAGTCCCATTTCATATTTTGTAATGCATGAAGACGATAATACGGTATTTATGGCAGTAGCAGCGAAAAATTGTATTGTTTATTCTTTATTGCGCGTATAACGTGCCGTAAAATAAGGCGACTTGTTCAAATTACAACATTATGTAACGCAGGTTATATTTTAGTAGCTGAATTTCGTATGGATGTATACATAATTTAGTGGGCATAAAAATGGAGAGGAAAAAATACTGAATTTAGCTGATTGCCTGTTCGAGTTCGTGGAGGCGGAGTAATCCCTTTGTCTCGAGGCATAATAAAAAAAATTCTACTCCTTCTATTATTTATTTCGATGAAAAATGCGCTCCGAAAAGTGAAGTATCGTTACGGAATTCTTTTGCTAACTCAATACGGCTATAAATTTTGGAAAGGGATTCTAGCGCACGAGCTCCAGAATTTTCTCTCTTTGAGGAAACTGCACGAAAAACTAACTTGGAATTCAAGTTAAGTGCAACGATGACGCGAACAAAACCAATTTAGGGATTCCGTGGCGCAAAGAAAGGGCGCTGCATTTACATTATGCGCCGGTTTTACGTTTGTTCGTTTTGCATTCAAGGTGCAGGTTGTGAAAAATGATATACGAATTAGTCACACTTTACGGGAAAATCACATTTATAGCTTGAACATTTTTACTTTGACATAATAAAGTCTGTTATGGTCCAAGAAGCGGAAATTTAATGCGATGTAATTTCTTTTAACTAGAATTGTACATTTCCATTTGAAATGTCACACAAACAGAGCATAATCGTGCCTTATTTACATGGATGACTATGAACTCAGTGCTTCGATGGAGATGTACTGAATAGTTTTTAGTGAAGACAGATAACAATAAAATTTAATATGTAGGTGTTCATACACTATTTTTTGAGATATTCTGTGTATCCAACTCCCGCAAAAATCGAAGAATATGATGGAAGCACTAGCATACACAATTTTAGAAACAAAAGTCAATGTTCACTCATTCCGAGTCTCTACTTTACTTATCGCTCAGAAATTCAAAAAATTAATATAATTCGTCCACACCACAAATTTATTAGAGTTTACACACAATTTTGCTAAGCGAATCCTATTTTTATTTTTTTTTAATTTATATATAGTCCTGACAAATAGAAATGGCAGTCCTAAATTTTAAAGCTGTCATAGGATTACCACAAGAGTACACTATATATTTGAGATTTACAAATGATAACAGACAAACAGACAGACGACAAAGAGATGGAAACAAGAGGGCTATTTTTACATTCTCTAAGGGTCATGAAACGTCGAAAAAACATGAAAGTAGCGCTTGGAATGATGGACGCTAATACAATACTTCCTTAGCTTAATAGTAGTAAGAAGTAAAAATCATGTATTATTTTAAAAATAATGATGTTGGCATTGGATTTATTTGACAGTTATGTGATATCTGATGAAGAAATTATTCTGCGTGTCGAATTTCAAAATAATAAAAATATTTAATAAACATTTGATTTGATAATTTTTTGAAACGATGTCATCAAATTTCCGAGAGGGATAAGCAGATGCATTTTTCTGCAATCACTAGATCAGGTTTAAATTCTTACCAAAATTTATGAGTAGTACCTATGTGTAAAGTAAAAAATAAGGATACATTAAACCAGAAATAAAAATCATGTCACAGTAAAATTTTCAAGAGAAAAGTTATAATATCTAGACGATAATTTTAAAATACAGCTAAAATGGCATCGTAATCATGCAACGTTTTCATATTTTACAGACTGTGAAACGTCTAAGAAACATGAAACACTCATGAAGGTGACTCCATTATCGTAAAATATCCCTTGTTACCCTTCAAACTTAAAAATACTATCCCGAAATAGCACAAAATGTGTATTAGACAAAGGATTATAATTTTACGGTCCCGGACTAGTGAAGGCGCAACAAGTAAAACTCTCCATAAAATGTAACGTCCAGATATGAGATAAAGCCGGGCCCTCCGTAAACTTTCTATTATCGGCGACGTAAGTCGCTTTTTATTGAAGGTCGCAGCCTTAAAGCCCGATCTAATTTTTGTAAGTGTATTCGCCCGGCGCCTCCACCATTTTTCGCGCCATAAATAATTGCCACTGTAATTTTGAAAACAGCAACAAAGTCGTAAAATAAATTATGTATTTTATTGCAGGGCGAGAGGCGCGAGCAGCATTTCACCCCGGGCCGGTTCACCCCCATCAAGCTGCCCGAAGGGCCGCCGCTGGAGGGGGTGGCTCACCTGCTAGACTTCCCGAGACATAGACTGCGCCTCCTCGAGAAGCTAGGAGAGGGCGACTTCGGAATGGTAAGCAAGATTAAATATTTATTTTAATTGGATCGCTAGAGGAGAACAAGAGCAACGTTCGGAACGCACAAAGAAGACATAAAAGAAATTAAATTTAATCTAAAATTCCATTTGCCGCGGAAAAACCTCGAAACGGATTATCATTCGATGCCGGATATCGGATTTCTTGTTTTTGGCAGATTTATATAAAAATTATCGGTCAGCTGGAAAAAAAGGCTCGACCGACAGCCGCATCTGCCGTAATTAAACTTCATTTATGTAAATGGAACGGCTCCGATTGAAACACGTGAGTTTTTGCTGTTTCAATTTATTTCGACGAATAAATGCGTTTAAACTGTAATTAAACCGAGATTCCGGAGTTTAACATCTACAAATGGCTGCATGCTGAAGTGCACTGCATTGCAATAAAAACAGAAAGTGCTGGAGCGCAGCGCAGGGAGGTTGTTTTCACAAATCGGAAAACGCTAAAAAATATACCAATGTCGCATAAAGAGCTTTATTCGTCTTTTACGTAACCTGGACAAGTGTAGGTGAGCAAAACCTTTGACCTACTTTTTGCGTTGACGTTTGAACGTTTTCAACTTATTTTCTGGTTTTGGCATTTTTCGTTATTGAAAAATGTCGCAGAAATGGGGCTTGAACTAAAGATTCAAGTTTCACATAATAACGCTAACTTTTGCAATAATTTTACTTTGGTTCTTTATCGACTTATAAAATGCTGCTATTGATATCTTAATCTCAATAACACATCATGTGTAATTTTAGCGTTCATAAATCATTCCGTGCTTTACTAGTACATATCCCTTGCCGTTTTTCAACCATAATACCTTAATTAAATTATTAATTTAGAAAAATAATTTAACCCTTTTAAATAAATATTTGTAAATTTTCTCGGTTCAATAACTCCCACATAAAACGTCCGAAAAATATATTAAAATTACTTATTTTGTTGTTTGCGTAGGTTTCCAGGCTTTTTTCGAAAACATCATTACTCGTAAAATAAACTTGAAATTTTAGCACGTTGATTTATCATAAATTTGTATACCAAAAGTATATACAGGGTGCCGCATCCAAGTCTGGATATAGGGAATTAACATGGGAATTGGTTTTTATTTTATGATATCTCCCCAGATCACTTTAAAGCTATTATTGAGTGATGCATTTGTGGAGGTCGAAGAGGGCTATCGGCCAGTATTTTTTTCAAATCGTTGTATCGCGCTCATTCACTGTAAAAAGGTTTTAAAAATCGTATTTTGAAATTCGCGCCCGATCCGATTTGTCACGAAATGTTCCGTCGCTCCGTCGAAGTTCGGCGATCGCGTCTTTGGAATATCCATGCAAAATTCAAATGTCAAAGTGAAATTAGAAATTATTCTCAGAAATCAACGAACAACTCAAACTGAATTATTTTATCCAGTGTGATGATTATTGTAGGACAAATTAAGCGGAATAAATGCACAAATTGATCCATTCATTCGTCATAGTGCGCGACCCCGTCAAACGAGCCATCTCGAACTACACTCAGACCGTATCCAAAAAGCCCGAGATGAAGACTTCGAGCACTGCGAGCAGCTGGTCTTCCTCAAAACCCCATCGGCAGGATTGTAACATGTCCTGGGAGCCCTCAAGCTAGGGATGTACTCGCGGTGCCTCACTCAGTAATCACTGAACGACTCAAATTGAATTATTTTATCCAATATGTCGATTATTGTAGGTTAGTTTAAACGGAATACATGCACAAGCTGCACAGAATATTTTATTAGGTTATGTTGCTGGTGCTGGTCGAGTCTTTATTACTAAAATCTCATTAAAATGCCACGTTCTACTGCGATTAGATGAAAAAGCGAGGGCCCGCTTTTCTTATTGTGTGATGATAAGATTTACCATCAAAACAGCTGGCGCTTTTGAAGAGAACCTTTTAATGAACCATTTAGATAACTACAAATAACAAAACTTAGCAATTGTTGATGAATGAAGTAATGAAATATTGTACGAATCTGGAGAAGTATTGCACTATTTTCAAGAATTGCTCAAAAAGACTGCTCTCAGCAGCTGTACAGTAAGTAAGCCGATCTTCAAAACTTCTACGCGTGTTGATCAGCATTTGCGTTGCAATCTGAAGACAATATTTGTTGGACTGCTTGTTTCAGCGCGTCTCTGTTTGTATAGCTGGTATTGTTTGAATACTGATGGTCGTGAAGAAATCTCAAAAGAAAAAATTCCCAGGGATTTAGATCCAACATTGTGGGAAAATACTGGTTCAAATAAACAACATTTATGCGAGCTATATGGCTGGAGATTTGGTCCTGGATGTAAAAGTCCTGCTGCAGATGCCGCACCCTTCGAGTCCCAGGAAGTATTTGCTGAGCTAGCATATTGTCCTACTTCTGAGCATTCAATCTAGATTCGATTAAAAGAGGTGCAATGACATGATGTCCTACAAGCCCCAGTCAGACACTGACAGTTGCACGCCATTAATAACAATAGTCATGGACCACGTGAGGGTTGTGTTATGCTCAAATTTGATCGTTCTGACGATTATAACTTCCGTTAAGACCAAATGAACATTCGTCAGTAAAACAAATGTTCCTCAAAAACTCTCCATCAGCCTGGATTCTCTTAAGCATTCCTTCGTAAAACTCCCTACGTGAGAAGTAGTCCTCAGGCTTCAATTTTTTGTCATAATGCTTTTTGAAACTCTTCTATCCCATCTCTTTAAGATCCCTAGAAAACGTTGTGCCCACCTGATTTTATTTACTTTTTATCACCTTTGAAAATAAATGTAACTTTGTTTTGTGAAATATTATTTTTATTTTTGTTGTTGTTAACACAATAAACAAATAAAACAGTAACACAAAAGTTTCTGGATCCCAAAACACATTCGTAATAGAGAAAAATACTTTAAAATGTTGATGAGTCAATGTTCTACATTTCTCTCTCAAAAATTTCTTGTAACGAACATGCTTCCAGGTGGCAAAAATTCCAGCCCTGCTTAACGAATGTAAACCCAATTGCTTCCAATCTTTAGTGATTCGAAAAAAAAGTGTGAAATTTTCCCAAATTACCTACTAATTAAATTAACCGTTGAAGAACAAGCAGGCCCTCGCTTTTTCATCTAATCGCAGTAGAACATAGCATAACCTAATAAAATCTTTTGTACAGTTTGTGCATTTATTCCGTTTAAACTTACCCACAATAATCATCACACTGGATAAAATAATTCAGTTTGAGTTGTTCGTTGATTTCTGAGAATAATTTCTAATTTCACTTTGACATTTGAATTTTGCATGGATATTCCAAAGACGCGATCGCCGAACTTCGACGGTGCGACGGAACATTTCGTGACAAATCGGATCGGGCGCGAATTTCAAAATACGATTTTTAAAACCTTTTTACAGTGAATGAGCGCGATGCAACGATTTGAAAAAAATACTGGCCGATAGCCCTCTTCGACCTCTACAAAGGCATCACTCAATAATAGCTTTAAAGTGATCTCGGGAGATATTATAAAATAAAAACCAATTCACATGTTAATTCCCTATATCCAGACTTGGATGCGGCACCCTGTATATCTAGAACAGTTGACTGATTATATTTATTTAATGTTTGAAAATTCGAAACAAAAATAACCTCATTTGGAACTGCTGTTTTTAAAATAATATTGAGAAGATCTCTTGACTCAGAATAATTTGATTTTGACTGTCACATCTGAAATTTAAAATACTCTGCATTATTTACACAGGATTGTTCTTACCTTTCAAACAGGACAAATAGAGAGCGTATACCAAAATGTATTTTTGAAAATCCCGTTAAATATTTTTTGAGAATTATGCAATCAAGTTAATTTATCTATCCATCCCCACCAAACTTCCGGTGATAAGTAAATTACATAATACGTAAAATTATATGCCCTTCAGATTTTATATTTTTTCCAAGGAACTGGACTTGATTGATTGGCTGTGCTTTCGAAGTGAGGGATGTTCTGCCTTTTTTTTATTGATTATCTCAGAATTCGACCGCTTAACTCTTTAGGAAGAAAAATTTTTCGGAAAAAAAGAGCAACGTCTTAGTTTTTTTACATACAGGATGTCCAGAATATCGCGAAATGTGATTGTAAGGTTGGATTCTTGTGCTATGTCTAGCAACAAAACAATGCTTTAATTATCACAATAATTACTAATGAAATGTTTAGTTCGTATTTCTGTTTCCCATCGTAATATTTTGTTACAATTTTCCTTATAATAAACGAAGTTATGAATGTCTTATTTTTATAAAAAAATGATAAAATTCCATTTGGCAAAGGTTTACATAATGTAATTAAACAATAAGTCTTGCTATGTTTATTTACTTTTATAAAAATATAATTTTCCACTAATTTACATTGAAACGAATCTTTTTATTATTTTTTTGTACTTATAAACATCCCTCGATAATGTACCCTTAAGGATGTTCGCGAGATTTTGAACATCCTGTATACAGGGTGAGTCACTAGACGATTAAGAGAGAAAAAAAGTTACAAATCAAAGTTGTACCGTTCTTTGAATGGCATAGATCAAAAAATCATTGTCCACTGTACCAAGTGTTTTATTTTTGAACTATAGCAAACAATTTAGTTTTTTTTTAATCTAACAGTTCCGATCTTCATTAACAAGAAGTTTTTATTGAGAAACGTAGGCTTAGAAGTCTCGGTGTCCACAAGTAGCACCATCAGAGCCGAAGAAAACAAAAAATATTAAAGATTTGGTCTTACTAGCAACTCACAACTAAACACAGTTTATTTTTCAAATTTCGATGCGACGTTGCCATGTTACACCAATTTTCTTCTGTTTTTACCTCGCGAACGTCAGTAAGCCAAGGAAGTACTATAACAGGGTCCATTTGAAGAACGGCTAGTTTCATGTTTTCTGGACGTTTCATGATGCTAGAATACGACACAATAAGTCTTCCGTTCCTGTCTGCCGTCTATGTAGATTTCTATTAGACAAAAAATCTCCGAAATT